TTGAGATATGATAAATTGTTCGGCGCCACTAGCCGCACAGTTCAGGTTACAAAAGATGAAATATTTTCAAGATACTCAAGCGTAGTCATTAAACCATATAAAGATACCCAAACAATAATTTTGTTTACTATATTAAAGTTTTTGGTGAAAATCTTTCAGAAGGTGTAAATGTGTGTTTATCAGGACAATTGAATGTGACATGTAACAAAAGCAAAAAAGCAGATAAAAAATTGTCAAAATAAAAAGGGAAGTGAGCAAAATTGATATCTGGTTTTCGAGAACGGTCTGAATTTTATTTCTTCGGAAAAGGCTATGTTATTAATTTTGAAGAGCCGCTTCTTCTTGAAGAGTCAAGATCGCCATATACTTCTAGGGTACACCTGGCATGTAGAACAGCAAGCTCATATAAAATGAAGACAGTTTGTAGTGAGAAAAAAATGTTCATCAAGCAATTACGGTGGTATTTCAGTACGGAACGTATATGGAGAATTTATCTGTATCCGCAGTCTCTGTTTTGAAAAAATATCGAATCGTGAATAATGTTTACAATATACACGCATAGTAAATGTAATTTTGCTGCACACATTGTGTGTAGAACGACCAGTTTACCGTTGTCATTGCATACTGTCTGAGTTAGTGCAAACATTGTTATCCATGTAATATTTATTTTAGGATATATACTCGTTTATATTATGTATCATACTAGTTTTTACAAGATACAATGCAAATGTACAACGTTTCTCATATACTTATATCAAGATCCTTAATATTTCATATAGGTTCATGACTCATAAGTCATGTTACAGTATTAAACAAATTATTTCATGAGAATGTAAATACTGTATTGTGTACATTTTATTGCAATATGCCAATGTCTAGCTTATCATGAATTATGAACTGAAAGTTGACATTTGCAATCATTGATTTCAACCTTCATATTATATTTTCAATCACATTGATGTCAGGATGTATCATATATGTGTTAGTGCTGGGGCATTATTATGCACTTGAATGTGAAAATACCCATTTACATTATAATATAATGTAAAGTTGTTCAAATAAGTATTTATAATATTTTTTGATAATAATTGATCGATTTTTTCTTTGGAGATATAAATCTAAAATTAAATGCTTTAAAGATAATATACAAATAATAACTTATGAGATGGTACATTTAACAACATTCTCAGATTAAAAGTTGTAGATACATAGACTTTAATAAATTAGAAATATCATTTATTTCTAAAATGTAAAATCAATTATAGATGTGTTTTACCAACGTGCCTATTTACACTTCTTTGTTGCAAAGCGTCTTATGATCGGGTGATAGTATGCCAATGTCAAAAAATATGTATAGATCGAAATAAAATAACTTATAGAACGCAATCGCTTTTCGAACGAAAAAATTTAGTATTCATTAGAAATAAGATATTGTGAGTGTACTTTTACCTGAAATTTATTGAATTGCTATTAATTAATATTAACACCTATACAATATTTTTCTAATAATATTTAATATTAATGATTTAAACGATTTTTCTTTTGCATAAAAAGTAAAAATATCGATTTCCCCTTTTCCAGAAAAATGTCAGAAAATTGAAGGTTAAAATTGATGACATGCAAAAATTCGTGCATTTATAACTTTGAATTTAAGATATTATTGCTAACATAAATACACTTCGCTCCAATTGATATTATCAATTCATTTATTTATTTATCACCCTTTCGATTTTATCTTCCAATTGCTCATTTATTTTCCGCGCCAAAATACAATACAGTAACTATAAATTGTTTGTTTGTTATTATTAACTTGTTTTCACGTCTTAAATTTGAAGGATAGGGACCGCATAGTTACAGAAAGAGTATTTAGTTAAAAAAGATTAAAATATGCCATTATTTTAATAACAAATACAAAAAAACAATTATTATGATAGTATTTTAGTGCTCAGTTATGCACTGAAATATTTATATTTATTATTTACTTACTTTCTCTCACATATCTATATGTCACAGGGTGAGAAAAATGTGCAGCCTGACCGGGACTCGAACCCGGGACCCTCGGAATACCGTTCCGCGGCTCTACCGACTGAGCTATCCGGCCGCTTACACATCTTCTCCGCTAAATAGTGAACAGTTCTGAACCGTGACATACTTCACCACAATATTGAAATTCGTCCTCGAATTTCACAAAGCTACAGAGCAATGCTAATTGAACTCTGAGCTATAAGCAGTCACGACCCCACGTTGGGCGCCAAATGTCACAGGGTGAGAAAAATGTGCAGCCTGACCGGGACTCGAACCCGGGACCCTCGGAATACCGTTCCGCGGCTCTACCGACTGAGCTATCCGGCCGCTTACACATATTCTCCCCTAAATAGTGAACAGTTCTGAACCGTGACATATAAGTAAATCAAGAATTTTCACAGATGTTAATAAGAAGCATATTTTTTTTCACAATAATTGTGAATTATAATGAAGATAAAGTTTAGAGGTGTACAACCTGATGTTCAATACTACGGCCGGTAGACATATTAACATAAAATTAGATTTTCGGATAACACTAGTAAAACATATCGCACATGCATGGAGATCAAGTTTAGAAGTGTTTAACCGTATCAGCAAAACTACATCTATTGATATATATTAAAATATATATAATCAAAAATACTTGATAAGCGGCGGTACTTTCCCTTAACCTTTTGTATGCGTTACTAGGTGGTTTGTTTACATTTAACCGATCTGTACATGTTAAAGATTTAACAATAAGTTAACGTGAAGACATTAGAGAAAAAAGGTAAGTAAATATTTTACTGTATCTTTAACACAGATTATTTTGATAGATTATGCCAACTATTTATTTCTTGCTGATTTTGTCTTTAAAGTTCAAAAGGATTCAATTCAATTCACCTGGGCAGCGTTTTACTAAAATTGCGTAAGTTTTTCGTAAGTATTTTCGTAACTTTACGCTTACGTTTAAACTTACGTAAATCGTAAGTGTGTAACTGTTTCACAAAACGTTCGTAAGTTTTTTTCTTAAACTTACGTTAAAATAGTGCATAACTCTTGAAAGAAGTTTTCAGAATAATTCCATAAGGATGCGTTTTAGTAATATTTAATAACCGCAAACATTTTTGAAAAAGGCTAAACTGGTTTTTCGTAGAGTCATCTACGGACTCTCATGAATGTTGCTGAGCAATACGTATTTTTAAGTGCATATTGTGCCAACGGCCATCCATCAAACAGGGGTTTCTCCCGATTTTAGTACATTTATAGAGTAGAAAGGAAAATCCCATATGATCCATCATGGAAGATATTTAAAGGGTTTTTGTTTGTTTTGAGGAGTGAAAAAAACTGTAATGTCCGCAAGTGCAAATATGGATTTTTTCTCATTTTTATATGACCGTAATTGTGATCTTAATAGTGTTTAAACTATCATTTTCTCGATCACTTGTTTTCAGAATTTGATATATTTGTCTGGTCCTTCACAATAATTGATTCGAGAACTTTAAGTGTAGAAAATTGAGTACCGCCCAAGCCGTTACTAGGAGAAGTGAGGGGTGTTAAACTATTTTAATTAACCCTAATGTACAGACTCAATCAAATCATGTCTGTAATGTTCATGCTATTTTGTTGTGACAGGTATTGTTGTGACTGGTGCTTCAGAGGAAATATTTTTTACAGGAAACGAATAAATTCAAGTGGTGGTTAATATACTAAATTATTCAATAAAATATATTTTAATGTGATAAAACATGTGAGGTACATTCTAATTATGATATGAAATATGAGAATTTAACGTCATTGTATTGCCTAAAACACGTAAAAAGATAAGTAACAAATAATTATTGATCAAATCACAAAAGATTGATACATTGTACTCGTACTTTGGCAGATAAAAATATCAGATTTTCTCAATAGGTATACATTTTTATAGTATATTATTTAAAAATTGACTATGACAAATTTAATTGGATTATTGACAGAACAAACACAAAGATTTGTAATCATATTTAAAGTATGAGATATTCTTATCAGTAAACGAATTAATGGTATATATTTGGGCTACACCACATTTATACTATAGATTGTTCACATGATAACATTCTTTAAGCAGGATATAAACAACCCTTACCCTCGTTTTTCTCTTTTTATGTTTTAATTTCTTAATCATTTTTAATTCAGTTTGCTATTTGTTTGTTTGTTTGTTTTTGCATAATTTAAGATAATATTGTTTTATTTTCCCCAAAGGATCCAAATGTACTCTTTTGCAAAGCCAAGTTAATATTTCATATATTTAGTATATTTATGTTATACCTTTGTATTGTTAGAAACGTCTAACGTTTATTGTTAAAAATTGACGTAGTTGCCAGCTGCATGGCTATATAACAGACTTAGTTTAAACATTTCTATGAATGAAGCTATGTAAGGTATGTTAAAATGTTACTAACCTAAGTTCTAATAAAAAGTTATTTTTGATCTTATTAGAACATTTACAATTTTTTGTTGCTTGATTTGATTGTTGTTTATAAAGTTAGGCTCAATTTTTTTATAAATGACATGTTTGATAAAATAACTACCGGAAAACGGATGCCACAGTTATATAACTTTCTTAAATCATGACCGATTTATTTATTAGTAAATTGATATAAAGCCAATAGCACCGATTAAAGTTAAAGGCACTCGATACCCTATAAATATGTTTAAATAACTTCCCGTTGTAACAAGATGTAACAGAAACGTGTAGTATGAAAATTGACAAAACAGACAAACTAAAGATCGTTATTTTAACATAAGTATATATAAACCCATAATAGTAAAGCAATCAAAGCAAAAGTGACGCTATAGAAAATTACAATTGTTAAATTGACATAAGTTTTCAAATAAAATTTAATCGACATTCTTGTTAAAATGGTAAGCAAACACAAAGGATATATTAAATGATTAAGATACGGAGTTTTTTATAACCATTTCTTAAAAAGATCTATTTTTCTATCAGGTAATAGACCAAGATGGAGGCTTGTACTGGAACACAATCGAGTCAGGACTTACCCGCTGCTTGGCAACACGACAAAGCGTTGGGTGATTGTATGATAAAACTCTATGAAAACAAACTGTGGACAGATGTCAAGTTCAAATGCAAAGATCATGGCGACTATGAAAGGATTCATGCGCATAAAATAGTTCTTGCTGCAAGAAGTCCCGTGTTTCAGGCGATGTTTTTTGGTCAATGTACAGAAGAAAAAGAAGACATTCTACTTGATAGTATTGAAGCAGAAACATTTGATTTATTCTTGAGGTAAGGTATTATTGTCACAAAACATCAGACAAAGATATAAGATAATAAAAATTACCCTTAACATGAAATGTGATGAAATCAGTGGATCTGCTGTGAATAATACAAATAAAAACAAAATGCATTTGTACTTGCAAACTCAAATCATTTAAATCGAGTTTGCAGTGTCAAAGTATTGCATGAAGGTCGAAAACTTGCTGTCATACATATTGGCATTGTTCAGTAGACAAACTCCTCAGTATTGCTTTAATTAAAATGCTAGGCTGATATTGATGTTATACATACGTGTTATTACTAAATCGTTTTGCTAAGGCCTAAATTACTTTTATCAACCTACAATTGCCAGGCTAAATGAAGAATATATAAAGTAATGTGCATTTCAAATGTTACGCTAAATAAAAATTGCAAACAGCCTTTAACAAATTAAACTATTAGCATCTTAAAATGTTTAATCCACATTTGATAAAGGTTATTAAATAGTTTATGTCACTGAGAAACTGTGAGTACGAAAAATGATCTGTTTTAGATATACTTATATGGACAAAGTGACCTTAACAGAAGATTTGGCTGCATCGGTTCTAGAGACAGCTCACTATTACCAGGTGACTAATCTTGTGCAATTGTGTGCCGACTTTCTGGCTTCGTGTGTCAGGCATGACAACGTTTGTGGTATTCTATCGCTGGCACAGCGTTATGAGGTCAGTTCTCTTTGTAAAGTATGCTGCATTTTTATTGACGAAAATGCTGATGAAGTGATGGAATCTGAAGGCTTTCTAGAACTTTCAGAAAATGTCCTATCATTCATTTTGAAAGGAGACACATTTTATGCAGACGAGACAAATATATTTAAAAAAGCAGAAGAATGGGCAGAGAAGAAACTGAAAGAAAGTCAAATTGAAAACAATGGGCAAAATATGAGAAAAATATTAGGACCAACATTTTATAACTTGAGACTACCCTCTATGTCACTCGATGAATTTCTGAAATGTACACGTAGGAAAGGTTATTTTTCTATGGAAGAATATGAGGATATTGTTGATTTCATCAACAGAACGCCTGATACAACCGTCAATAGCAATTCATGCATATCTAGGCTGCCAAATGTAGAAACAATATACTGTTCTGATGAACAAAATACTGAGGTTGCAAGTGACACAATGCAGACAAGTTTTTATGTAACTATTCACAGGGATGTGAAATTAAAAGCAGTGGAATTGGCGGAAATATTTCCTTTTTTGGAATATGATAACATTTTATATAGTAATATAAATAATAGGTCTGTGTACTTTAATTCATCGGATTCAGTACAATATGCGTTATCACAATATACTAATCAAGTCATTGAACTAGTTTCAAGCCATCGTCTGTGTAAACTTGAGAAACAAATAGGCCAGGACCTGCCAGAGGGTGTAGAAATTATTATAACAGGAAGTTTGAAATTGTCATGCAAGAAAGAAAAAATCGAGACGGTAGCAGTTGATGATGATGATGTAGATAATGGAAACAATGATGAAGATGATGATTCTGGCAATGATGATGATGACGGGAAGATATATCAGGTATTTCAACAAGATTTGCGGCTGGCTTCCATGGATAAGGCAGAACGCAAAATTACTCTTGAACAGCCGGTAATTCTTGAAAAATCAAGATCGCCGTATATTTTTACGCTTGATCTAAAGAACGAATATTCACGTTCAGTTAAAATGAAGACAGGACTAAGTTCAGAGAAAACTTTCACAAGTTATTATGATGTCTTTGAAGTGGAAGATATAGAGGGAGAATTTAGAGGGGTCCGAAGTCTTTGTTTTGAAAATATATCAAATCGTGATGAGTGTTAGAACAAGTTAAGCAAGTATTTAAAAAAAAATTCTGTGGACACAATGCATCATGGAACAAGCGTTTACACTTTTACTTTTTAGGAATGCGTAAATCTATGTGCAATGTACTTATTGTAAGATGTATGAACATGAAGATCATTAAGCTATGAGTGAAGTTTATTTCAATATTCATAACTAGCTATAAGTAATCATATAACCTCTTTGTTTTTGTTGGATACTAGTTAACCTATCTTATGAAAATAACATAATCATATTTTTCAGGTTGATAAAAGGGATCTTTATGCTTTATTACGAGTCTTTTTTGGGGGTGGCGTGTTATTTGTTGTTATTTTTGTGTTATGTTTGTTGTTTTTGTTTTTTTTTCTAGAAAATGGTTCGCTACTTATATATAATACATTGGTTACATCGTCCCCGAATATTATGAGAGACTGTACTTTCAAGGTCTCTCTTCAATCGATATTGTTAATTTTCACTGTCAGTGGTGATATTTTTTCAATTGTGTTTTTAGACCTCCAAGTTGATTTTCGAAATTTATTATAAAGCAAACAGTTCTTAAATATGAATAGACAATAAAACAGTTATGTACTTGCTGTTGTTGTTTCGATTATTGTTGTTGCTATTCACAGAGCGTCAATACGATTTGGAAGGAGATGAATTAAGATGGTTTTAATTAAAGAAAAAATGGACTGCTTTAGGGGTATAGCTATCTAAGTTAATTTTTACTACCCTTGTTTGTGCCTATTATTTTTTATTTTTAATATTGTGAATTTTTTTTTAAAGTTTTAAAATCATATCCTACCCTTGCGGCAAGAATGAAATTTTTAAAAAAATTATCAATGATATAATAGTGAAAAGAATAAATTTTAAAGTGTAAAGCAAAAAGTAAAAAAAAAATTTTTTTGAAAAGCTTTTTATATTTTGTTTTAAAAATTTTCTATTTCAATAAAAATAAAAAACAAACGTTTCAAACGGCCCAATTATGTAAAAATTTATATATATATATTAAGTGAAATATATGTAAAAATTTTAAAATAAATTTTTTAAAAACTAAACGCCAAAGATTTTCTTCTTTAAGATGTTTGTTTTTATGGAAAATTGCTTTTATTTTGATTTGCTTGTTTTCACAATTTCTTTTTTCGTATATTATAGAGTAATATTTACACAACAATGACAACCAGGACAGTTAGCGCCATGGACCTTTTCTCGAGAGTATTTAAAAAGACATTGAAGCTGTCGTATATTTCAGCTAATTTAACGACCCTTTTAAACAGCAAAACATATATTAAAATCGGCCTTCAGGGCGGTCGGGTTTTCTGGTGGCATCAATTACTGCATTCATTTTGTAATGGAACAATAATTTTTGCTACATACATTGTACATGAGGGATTATATTTTACACAAATGTTCAAACCTATTATGAAGCGGAGCTTTGTAGTTCAAGGTAAAAAAAATATGAAAAGTGTTCGAATATTCAATTTTTGAAGTATTCCCCTTTACCCCTATTATTTTTTCCCTTTTAATTTACCCCCCTTCCCCGTTCTCCTGTCCCCCCCCTGTGCGCTGTTTAACTTTGTGGGCCTATTATATTTATCATTTGTTAGTTTTCTTTGAGTTCCTCGTCAGTTACAAATTAGTTCTTATTATTTGATCAATTGATTGTTTTCTTTGAGTTCCTTGTCAGGTACAACTTTTTTTATCAATTAAATGATTACCTATCCGTGCTTTGCCTTGTGTCCTGTCCCTTTTTTGTTTCGGGTCCGCCTGGGCTGCTTGCCACTGGTACTTGTGGGGGTTGCGTTCATTGATCGCCACCTTTCCTTGTTGGCATTGTTTATCATTCTAAATTGAAATATTATATAATTAGACATTTCCAAGCATGAGACTGGGTATTGTAAGCATTATTCTGGTCAATGTAGGCAATTCAAGTTAAATTGAGGAAATTATAATCTATACGCATGTTGGGATTATAGTAATACTTGACACAATTCTTCACTTAATTTTGGACATAGTATTACATTTATGAACCAAATCTCATAGGTCAAAGTCACATTCAGCGGTCAGAGAAAAATACTTGTCCGTAATTAAACTTCAACTGACATTGTAAAGCATAGTGTAATGCGTAAAATATAGGTCTTTTTGACCATTATTGCATGCAAATGAAACTAGGCAGTCAGTATTATGAGACTGAACATTTGTGACGAGCGAGTCTTTTTACAAATTGGCACACTTGCAAAATTTGACATCATACCAAGATTGTCAGGTAGAAACATATCATGTAACACATGTCGTGTTAGAGACAATAAATCAATGTTATATACGTTCGTTTTATAAGTTATTAAACTGAAATTTTCTAGGATGACGTAATCATATTAGCAGAGGGTGTCAACGTAATATTGTGTTGTCACATAATCAGATATTTGAAATATATGTAATTTATTCAAGCATATCCATAAGAAAATGCAGAATTTTGTCGTGCACCGGGAACTAAGGCATTTTTCGTTAATATTTAGATTTTTCAAGTAACAAGAGTAGATATTTTGTAAATAATTTAATGTTATTTGAAATAATACATTTATATGTTATATATGTAAATTATTATGTACTGGCGTTAAAAATGAAACCTACTTTAAGATTTGTCACGGACATTTGGAACAACTAGTACGGTAGTACGGTAAATGGACATGCCCGCCAAATTGTGAACAGTACATGGTCAATGGGAGTGAACAGTACATGGTCAATGGGAGATAACCAAGATAGGGTCCAAAATAGAACAAAAAATAAAATGTTCAAGTAAAAAAGTGAAAAATAATAACTTGCCTATCATGCAATCAAATAGATGATAGGAAATGTAGAAATTTTTATATTTCAGAAGATGAATTCCACTTTAATCTAACATGTTATCTTTATGCTGAACTTCGAAAAAATATAAAGGAACACATTTAAAAAAGACAAAATATACCTAAATTTATTGTAATTACGAGTTTACAAAATGCAACCGAACGTGTATATTATATACATATATTTACATGTTAGTTTTCTGTTAGTGTACTCCTTGATAGGATGGTGTTTCTTCTTAGTATTCATTTATTTGCAAGATCATGATATTTCAAGATATGTTAATTTATTTTGACGTTAATAGTTAGTATTAATAATTAACGTTTTCTAATTGCTAAAAATATAATAAAACTTCATGATATGTATTTAATATAAAAGTTTTTGACATTGACTTTTTGACTATATCAAATGCTTCTTGTTTTAAGGTACTGTGTACGCATGAGGGTATAGCCCAGATGTATTTTGAAATAAACTCTTGAAACACTTGTAAGAAAATAAAGGGAATAGCAGTAGTAATTAATATACATCTCATTGTTTGTAAGTACTTGAAATATCATATAGTTTTACATGTACAGTTTTAAAAACTTTGAATGAATCATACACATGATATTCTTATCATCATCTCCAAAAATGAAAAGACAATGTGTTTCATAATGGAAAGTAAATTGCTTACTATTTTAAATTAAAGAATAAAAAGAAAAAGTATCTGATTCCATCCATTGAAAAAATTGAAATATACATTCTAGTTTACATTTGATGTTACCTTTTACATTTGACAAAAAAATAATGAATCATGATTATTTTAAAACATTTGGCAAATATAAAATAAGATTTTTTTTTTCGTATTCTTTCGCCTTATTAAAACAATAATTAAAGCAATCGTCATAATTGCGCTATTAGAAAGGGTACTTTACTACAGGTAGCAACTTTTTTTAAAACTCATACTTTAAAGATTGCAGTTTAACAGATTGTCGTTCTGTCAGAGATAATTGGGGTCATAGTCAAGTCTAGAAAGCAGCTTCTATAGGCACAATACCAAAGCTCATGATCGATACCGATGAGTCATAGAATCTTATAAAAAAGTAAAATTGCATTGCATTCGATGTTTATGGCTTGAAGACATATAAAAACAGATCTATCTATGTAATCAAAACGACTAACAAAACTTTCATACATGAAGCACACAAAATTGATATATGCATGTTTTAATATTAGCTTAGATATTTCAAGTAAGCATGCACTTTGTTGTACAAATGAATGTATTAGTTTCTTTGCCGTCAATCATTTTATGATATCAATTATAGCTAATATCTCGCATTGAAATATACGTTAAGAAAATTTAATCTAAAATTTTGATTGTCATAAGAAGGAAGAGCTAGGTTTCTTAAAATTAACTAAGACGTACGATATTTAACTTCACCTTGAAGCTCAAAGCATTCCGTTTCAAAGTTAAAGCAAACAATGTACTGCTGTAAGTGTTTTTACGATTAAATAGCAAACAATGTACTAGTGTTTTAACGATTCGATATACGAGCAAAGCAGGTGTTGGTGAGCGGCCATTAACGTTCTTTGTTTAAACTTAATGAGTGCTCTTATTGATGCCTAGGAATTTGATTCTGAGACGTTTTACTAAGCTTTCATTAATAAACTACTTTTTAAAGTTAAATCTGATTCGGCTCCTCTTCTTGCACTTCTGTTTATAACTTTTTAATATACAAATTTAGTGTTGCCTTAGAAAGAAGATGTACTAATAACTAAAATAAATTTCAGTACTTACAACGACATACTTATTACCCATGCATTTTCAGAAAATAAGTATAAATATGATACTAAACAAATTCATATATAAGCTACTTTCTAGTGTTAAACCTGATAGTTGATACATAGGTCGCACATATCTTGATAAACTTGATAAATTGTGATAACCGATTTTCGAAAAATGATAGTCCCCACTTTCTATATGCTGTTACTAGGTGGTGTGTTGACTCAGTTAAACGTCCTTACGGATTTTTAAATCACATTTTAAAGAAAAGGTGAGTGACAATTTATCCTAAATTACAACAAATGTTTTATTCGCGATTTTATCTGAATTTAACAAAAAAACAAAGTTTACGGTTAACATTTTAAATTTCAAACATTTTATCATTCAAATGATATTAGTTTGTAAAAATAATGTTTGTCCAAACAGCAAGATTTTATATTTAAATATTTTCTTATTGAGTTTGATTTTATCTTTTATACTTCTTCTTTATTGTCATTTAAACTGCATCCGTTCATGTGTGTGAATATTGTAACTTCCTGTTATAACGTACTCTGTAAATTTAATGGGGTCATCGAACTGGAAGACAACAAAAAAAATTATAATGTAAACCAAAACAAAACATAATGCAAGACATCCTTATGTATAAGTTATCTGTCAAGTAAATGCCCCAAACTAGCTAAAACAAACTGACGACAAAATAAAACGAAAACAAGCCCGATGACAGCAATGTAATTACATGTTTCAAAGATCTTGTTTAAGTGTTTTTCTACCTACACTTCTATAGTCAAAAATCTAAAACAACTTCAAAACAAGATTAGATGTAATGACAAACGATAGGTCATTTTAGTGCTTTCACTGATAAATGTAATATCATAAATATGAGATTTTTGTTTGCTTACCCCGTAAGAAATGTTAAGCGATAAAACCATCAATAAAACGTCACATGTATATGTAGTCTTACATAATAAACTATATCAAACATACAAACATATGTCTTTTTTCATGTTTGAAACCCTGTAATTAAACTCATGTATTGGCTTTTTTAACTTTTAAGTGTTATATTTAATGAAAATAATATTAATATTAATAATAATTCTATTTCATTTCGGACAAAAAAATTAACATAATGTTCAAGTTATATTTCTACATAAAATCAAAAGAAGTAATCATAATTATGCTTGTACAATAGAAACCCTATGTATGACCATCCCGAAATTAAGACCATCGATCGATTAAGACCATTTTTCAAAAGAACGGGACTTTTTGTTCTTTATGTCAATGGTCACATGATTCACGTTTAAGACCACCCTGTATTTCCGCTGTTTCAGTCCCATTGCTTTATTTTGCTTTTATTTGACCAACTTTAAAGACCACTGATAATTGAGTCAACACCTTTTAGACCACAAGTCTGCTTATAGTTTCTGATTCAGTAGACATATGACGTGATCAAACAAGGTACTGACACTGTTATAATTGGAATATCTTATACAGTAAACAATACTTCACATGTACTACTGATTAGCAATTGATCGAACTCTTTATTTACTGTATCATAAGCAAATTCCATGAATCTTCTTTTGCAGTTGTTACAACTACAACAAAAACGATATGGAAGGTTTTGTAAACTACCACAAGAAAGAAACTTTGTCTCAGGCCTGGCAAGTGGACAAGGACCTAAAAGCGTGTTTGAAAGAATTGTATGATAAAAAGCTGTGGACAGATGTCAAAATTCACTGCAAAGATCACATTGACGGTGAATGTTTTCTTGCACACAAAGTTGTTCTAGCAGCAAGAAGTCCCGTATTTCAGTCGATGTTCTTCGGTACATGTGCTGATGGCAAAGATGAAATATACCTTGACAAAGTAGATACAAACGCATTCCATCTATTTCTAAGGTAGGATGAGTTTTTACTTCAAATTTTTAACATGTTGTTATTGCATGACTCACAAATTTATAAGTATCAATCACATATCTATAACAACAGGGAAGAAAGAGATTAGATATTATTAAATAATGGATATCTCAAAAGATATCAGTTATAATGAACATTGAAAGTTTCGACTTTTTCAAACAAATGATTTATCTGTATTTTACAGGTATCTTTACAGCGATGATCTGACGTTGAGTGAAGAAAATGCGTCGTCATTGCTAGAAATAGCACACTTTTATCAGGTATTAAACTTAGTAGATATGTGTGCTGATTTTTTAGCTACCATCATAACAGTCAAGAATGCTTTTGAAGTATTAAATGTATCAACATTTTATGAATTAATAACACTGCGCAATGCATGTTACGCATTCATTGACACCCATGCAGACGAAATCCTCCAATCCGAAGAGTTTTTACAGCTTTCAGCAGATCGTCTTCATTACATTTTAAAAGGGGACACTTTTTATACCGATGAAAAAATCATTTTCACGAAAGTAATACAGTGGGAAAAAAACGCTATTTGAGGTGGGGAAACCATAATGCACAGGAGCAGATATAAGATCGATTTTGGATGCAACGTTCTACTTTTTAAGATTGCCAACAATGGACTATGCGACTTTGATGGAATGTATCCGAAAGAAGGGATATCTTTCTTTAGACGAATATGAAGAAATTATTGATTTCGTCAATAAAATACCTTTAACATCCGTAAAGAGCAACTCCTGTGTAAAAAGGCTACCTAGAGAAGAAACTTTGTATCTGTCAACCATGGATGGAACATATTCTATCGGAAACAGTGTGTCAACTTCATTTGAAATTTCGGTATCACGTGATGTTATTCTCAACAACTTTGTTCTTTCAAAAATATCCAACATATTTCAACACGACCATCAGCTTTTTTCAGAAGAAAATACCAGAACAATTCCTATAACACACCCGAGTATAAATAATTTCTTTAAAGAATATGAAGGTGATGCACTAATGTTATCATATACAAATCTAAAACATGTACACACCGTTCAGAAAGTGGCTTCTAAAATGCTCCCTGTGGATTTTAAAATACCTATATCTGGACATTTTACAATAAAATGTAAAACAAAGCAGGAATTGAAAAAGTCACAAGACATTAAGTCAGAAAATATCCAGTTTAATCCTGTCGATAGATGAACTTGGTAAAGGCAAATTACAGGGTCTTGGTATACCAAGTTTGAACGTTAATACTAATGACAGCATTAAATATAGTAGAACGGAGAAGAAAGATAGTGGAACAGGGAGTGAAGATAGTGGAGATAAGGACAAATTGTTATATGAACAAGATTTCATGTTTTTGCCAGAAGACATTTCTCAAAGTACCATTCATTTGACAAGGCCATTCCGATTATCAAAACAGTCATCACCGTACACAATTGAAATGGGTTTAAAGTTATGTCACAATAGCTGCATCAAAATAAAGGCCGTCTGTTCTAAAGATTGGCCATTTGTAAGGAGCAAACATGGACAGGTAACAGTGCGCAGTATTTGCAATCAATTTGCTGGAATCCAAAGCCTTGGGTTTGAAAATATATCTCAGCGTGAATCTAATGAACATACTTAATTAATAGAATTATTCAAGTCCAGTGCAAAATGCAAAGACATAAATTATCAGCAGAAAAACATAACAATGGTTATATTTACTCCCTGTTGTGGTTACTTTCACATCCTAATGTGTACGGATTGAAGGTGTAGGTTTTGTAGAACTGTCTTGATGATAATTTATGTTTTTTTTTCTATAGAACAGTAAGCTTTGTGGAAGTCGATTTTGTCACGTAGTTTAATATTATTTTATCTCTAACTAGTATCTGGTATTTCCATTGGATAAGAGCAGTCATGTGGTGACGCCCTATATTTCGATAGTCGTTCAGTAGCTGATACAAGAAGAAAATGACTGCAAATCAACAAATTTAAATAAATTAAAACTATTCTAAGAGTGTTTAACAACTTTTTAAATCAATACTGGCATTATCGTTAAAGTGTCAGTCATATCAACAAACAACGAAAGAATTTTATATTAATAAAGTAGGAAAGTGTGAGATATTACATGATCCGATATTACATATATTAGGATAGTAGATAATAAATTGTTCTTGAAAAAATATTGTTATTCATCATGTAAATGTTCTTTCTCTGAATTATCCTCGGTAAACCAGGCTAGTAGTTACCGTATACATGTATTCAATGTACTATATACGGAATGTGTAAGGGCGTCCATGGCCGAGTGGTTAAGATCGTTGACTTCAAACCACTTGCCCCTCACCGCTGTGGGTTCGAATCCCGACAGGGACTTTGGATTCTTTCATGTGTGGAAGCTATCCTGCTAGCTCACGGAACGCCGGCGGTTCTACTCACGTGCCCGTTCGTGCCTGAAATAATGCACGGAAGGGCACCTGAGGTCTTCCTTCACAAGTAAAGCTCAAGCGTCGCGATATGACCTATACTGTGTCGATGTGACGTAAAACCCAAAAACAAACAAACAAACGGAATGCGTTCCGTGGGTTTCGACGATGATTAAGAATATCCAAATGATACATTTCTATTATTTTTATGAATATTTGAAATACTTATGGGAAAATTGCCCAATGCTATAAAAATATTGTAATTCTGCTTTTAAATTTAAAAGGTCTGAAATGGCACATCCTGTATTGAAATCTAAAAAGCAATTTTATTTGTCATGTTCAAAAGTGTAGGGATAACAGGAACTTACATGCAAATAAATAGAAATAAGTTTAAATTATTTAACTTTTTATTGTTATTATAATTAATCTCTTTTGAACATATTCATCTCCTGGTGTAACAAATGCAACACCAGATGTCAAATCCACAAATACACACACACGCTTGAGCTAAAAGATGCATATTCTCCAGTAATTCAAACCCATTTAAGTGCCTTTTGCGATAAGGTAGTAATGAACGATAGCTGCAATTCCTTAAGGGCCATAGGTGTGCATTGTAAAAATACAAAAATACACAACGGTTACCATAATCAGATCATCACTTTTCTAAAAAAAAAACCTTTTATTAGCTATCTGTTATTTTTATCATAATATAAATATATCTTACACAACGGTCAGGGATGGGGGAGAAATGGAAATATCCTAATCTACTCCAGGTGATCTGAATGTTTAAATATATGTCATACTTTGTGTTCACGTGCGTATTGGATAAATATAAAGTTGATATTCTAAAACACTTTCTGCGCTATGTTCTGGACAAATCATTAGGAAAATAACTAAAATATTAAAGGGCGATTATCATTCTTATACACTAATCACGAATAAGATCTGTCTACCTGAGAAGTTTCAAAATGATATCTCAAATACTTTTTGAGTTATGTTCCGGACAGAATTAAAGTTAGCATTTAAAAACAAAGAGAAATAACTCAAAGATGAATGTGGGCATAGCTATCACTATTGTACACTGAACACCCCTTCAATGGGATATATCGACCTAAAAAAGGTTTCAGTTGATATCTCATCTACCTTTTGAGTTATGCTTCGGACGGAAAGAATCATGAAACAATTTAAAAGGGCAATAATTTAAGGTATTGTGATAGGTAGAGTTATCATTCCAAACCTTTGCTTAACTTCTAAATGTCACTTATCTTCCTATGAATCTCGAACTAAATATCTCAAATACTTTCCAAGGTATGCTCCAAACAAAGATTTAACATAAAGTAGAATATAACAAAACAATTAAGCATGCTAAACATCAATGGGCAATAACTAAAGATATATGAAAGGTAGAGTTGTTTTTGTTTTGTTGTTGTTGTTTTATTTTGTTTTGTTTTTTGATAACTGACAATAAAAATGATCATAACTAAAACTAAAGAGATGAAAAAGCTTACAATACTAATAATGCTGACAAAATGTTAACGTTAAACAAACAGAAAATACAGTGTAAATAAGGAAACTAGTCACAGAGATATTTAATGACTGTTATCTAGTAAGCAAAAGAGAAACAAGATACAAATGTGTTACAAGGCAAGAGATGCGTAGACATTACGTTACTGGATGTCTTTCTAAAATGACAATGCTCTACATACATCTCAAGACTGCTTTTTTCTTATATACAAGTTATATAATTATTTTCATTGTATACATTTTATAATCATACATGAAATGAAATTGCTCTCTCAACAAATGACAAAGGTCTATAAAAAAGGCTAAAAAAGTAAATAACTGTGTAGTGGTCTATCGTTCAACAAGAAGCAGACATTTTTAACGAATATCTTGAAACATTTCTTGATAAACATTTGAGTAAGGATGGTAAACCTTAAGCGTTTAAACGCTTCTCACTCAAATCAGGCTAAGAAAAAACATAAAAGTACGATTTTCAATTTATTTTAAAGTACCTTTCTTAACTATCTTTGCATATATTTCTGTTTAAAGTACCCAACTCATTTATGTAAGAAATTCAAATGTTATGTTTTAGGCTTTCAAACCTCAGTTGAGTCTCTTTTAAGAGTTGTAATAAAAAGTGAACTATGGTCTAGAATCGTATAAACATCATATGACGGTTCTATTTATTATGCCTAGTTTTTTTTGTAACTAAAACTTCCACTAAGTCTACTTTCACACTTTTTGTAACCCTTACATAGCGCATATAAATGTGATTTACAACGTTTACTGTTTTCTGTGTTTCAAAGTGCTTTTGATAAAAATTTGAGTTCAGCAATCCTTTTTCCAAAGACTAATAGAGATTCTTATTCAATGATTGCCCAGTCAGTTGTTTCCTTTTTATGTGAAATGGCAAAAGCATTGGATATTAATGTTTTGTTAACAAGATGATCGGGCCCGTAATTGCAGTCATCCATTTTTTACATTGCGCCTAGATTCACGCATATTCAAAATGTGCAACAATGGCGTGTGCACGCGTGTTTTGCTCCGTTGATGATCTGTTTTCGTGTAAAATGTATACCTAAGTTTGCTTGTTTTATTCAATCACTAGAAATAAAGTATCACTTTGCAAACGGAATTGTAATGTTAATGATCTATACCGATAATAAGTAGTAATGATAACTAAAACAGTGTAGAACACATTGTCTGTAAACAGTGCTTCTACTTTTAATGCCTGTTTAATTGTATTCATAATTTGTAAAGATTTTTTTAAATCAACATGAAGCGAAACATATATTGATACAAATAATGATTTCTTTTGGAATAAATCAAAGCTATTGATAGAACTTTGGTATGTTTTAATGGATAGCTTTTTTGAACGATTCCGTGGCCTGCGATAGCGATCTTCTCTTTATCGTTATCATGCAATTTATTCTTCAAGGATTTCATTTCATAAACCTCGTGTATGCTATAATTCATTATTTTTAGATAAAGTTCTCCTACAATTGAACAATTGAAATAAATTTGATTATCGGAATACTCGAATTTAAAACATTCAACTTAACTTCGTACATGCGGTTACTAGGTGGTTTGTTGATCTGTTTAATCTAGAGAGATTTTTGAGAAAAAGGTGAGTGAATTATTTTACTGTACATGTTTTTAAAAGATTTTATATGTTGTAATGAAAATGTTAATGTTTCTTTTCAACTTTTTACAAAAATAACACAAGACACAAATATAACATCACATATTAACTGAGTACATTTGAATTACTTTGTTCAATTTTAATAGCAAAAAAAAAATGTTCTGATGTAGAATAAGAGAATATAGGATTAAATCTGGATTAGCTTTTTGTAGCGAGACATTTAGGAAAGATGTTTTATAGAAAAAAAAAAGAAAAAAAAAATCTTTTAAATATGATTTATGTATAATCATGATATTACGTGACTTTTAAATTGCATAATTCAACATCCAACCAACCAACCCCAACCCTATCCCCGTCAAAAACAAGTTTTGGAAATTTATTTCTTTCTTTTATTATCTGTATGACATTTTAACTTCATTTGTATAGAGGTCTTTTTACCAAAATATATCAATAAAACAGCAATTGTTATAAAAAGTACACTTAAAAAATCATCAGTTTATCTATTATTCTATGTCTATGTTCTCTAAATAACCAAATATGAGATCGCCTTATTATCTTTAAACGACCTGACCTCTAAATGTTATTGATTGATAACCTTGAAAAACAAGTTCAATTATAGTTGGTTTATGTAAATATTTCAGTCAGAATTGAAAATATTAAGCAAGATTATAGTTTTTTTTAAACTTTCCCATTTAATTTATCATTTTCAACATTCCACAAAGAATAATATCGCCTGAATGTAAAATATAAGAAATATTGATTTAATCGTACTTAAGTATCAAGTTACTTAGATCTAAACCTATGTTGAATTAGATACGTTAAAGCATATTAAATAAAGTATAAATTATAATTATATGGGTAGTGGAAAATGTTTAACTATACATTACATTTAATTTGTTTACAACTAGAAAAATTTCTCCTAAAACCATTATAGGTCTACTACCAATATTTTGATATTTTCTTTCTGTTTCGTAAGCAAAACATTATATGATGATTTTTACAGAAAGATTTCACAGTTTAATTTAGATTATTTAGATCAGGTCCATGGAGTGTATTTATTGGAAATGATTGTCCTAAAACTGTAAGTATGGCATTTCTCTGTGAAACAAAAAATGATAATTCAAATGCCTCAAACACATTATTGATAAATAATGATAGATTAACGCAGAAAAGGGGGAATAAACGTACTTGTACTTTGGAGGGTAAAATGTAAGATTTGTTCCAAAGCTATACTTCATGTAGTAATGAAACATGAAACTGTACTTGGAAAAATGGCATAACACACAAGATGATGGTCCTGATAATATTAAAAGATATTCATATAAGTAAATGAATAAAATGTCAGTAGGGGCTTTACCAAATCGAAACTAGAATGTTCCTTTCGACATGTGTATTGTTCAAATATAAAAAAAATAAATATTGTTTAAAATATGCAAGGAAGTTTCTTTTGAAAAATGCAGGACAAACTATTTTTTTTTTATTCTCAGAGCAAGTGTACCTTTCTACTGATCATGTTAAGGTATTTCATATCAACAGTACACAATATATATCTAGATTATTTCCCATTAAAAAGAAAGTTCTCTTTAAGGTTATAGAATTGACAGAGATGGAGGCATCTTATCATACACAATCAAATAAGATATTGCCTGATGCTTGGCAACACGACAAGGCTTTGGGTGACTGTATGATAAAACTCTATGAAAACAATCTGTGGACAGATGTCAAGTTCAAATGCAAAGGTCATGACGGAAATGAATGTATTCATGCGCATAAAATAGTTCTTGCAGCAAGAAGTCCGGTGTTTCAGGCGATGTTTTATGGGCCATGTGCAGACGGAACAAACGATATTGTACTGGATAGCACCGAAGCAGAAACATTTGATTTATTCTTAAGGTAAAGTATACTTGTTACCAAAAAAAAAAACTTAATAGGATGAATTAGAACTTCGCTTTAAAGAATTAAGATAATGCTACCAGCCATAGTTTAACGTTCTCTTAAGGATTCGAGGCACATAAACAATAACATCATTTGTCGTTTTCCAAATATTTAGGAAGAAAGGGGATTGATGGAGAACAAACAAATTAGCGTTATACTTTAAAACTGCAAACTCAATTTTATTTAAGTTATTGTTACACTGGAAAACTTGCTGTTAAAACACTTAAGTTGAACAATAAAGAATGATGATTGAAATAAAATACTTTCACTTAAAGTTCAACAAAAAATTATCAGATTTTTTTATAGCCAACACACTTAATCTTTAATCTCTACATTGCTTATAATACAAAGATTGAATTGAATGAAATATCGGGATTATCTTTATTGAAAAGATGCGTGTTATTATACACTTATTCAAATCATGATACTGAAAATATTTCAACATAATTTCTTGACAATCAAACCAAATACTAGGCTTGACATATAGTAACATATGTTTATATATGTTCAGGTATATCTATATGGACAAAGTAGACTTAACCGAAAGCATTGCTGCATCAGTATTAGAGACAGCTCACTATTATCAGGTATCAAATCTAGTGGAGTTTTGTGCCGCCTTTCTCGCTACATGTCTCACAATTGAGAACGTTTGTGAAATATTATCGCTCGCTCGATGCTACGAAGTCAGTTCTCTTTGTACAGCATGCTGCATTTTCATTGACCAGAATGCTGGTGAAGTAATAAAATCTGAAGGCTTTCTAAAACTCACGGAAGACAACCTTATGTATATGTTGAAAGGAGACACATTTTATGAAGATGAAGTTGTTATATTCAAAAAGGCTGAAGAATGGGCGCAGAAGAAATTAGAAGCAGAGAATTGTGAGAAAAATGGACAAAATATCAGAAAAGTTTTTGGATCGTCATTCTTTTACGTAAGACTACCTACTATGTCATTGGATAATTTGCTGAAATGTACTCGTAGGAAGGGTTATTTTTCTGCGGAAGAATATGAGGATATTGTAGATTTTATTAACAAAAGTCCGGACAGAGATGTTGACAGTAATTCATGTATATCAAGAGTGCCAACAAAAGAACATTTATTTTGTTCTGACGAGGAGCAAGGAACAGAAGAATCCAGTGACGGATTGAGGACATGTTTTAACGTAACTGTGCGCAGGGATGTTAAACTAAAAACAATAAGACTTGCCGAAATATGTAAATCCTTGAAAGAAATAGTTTATACCAAATTTGTACAAGACGTATACTCAAATCCCTACAGTTCTTCTCGCATTTCTTTCGAACTAAGGGAACCCTTTGAAAAAGATCTGTTCAAAAATTTGCATGCAGTTTTGTTGGGAACGTTGAAAGTAACATCTTTTAAAGACAACAGAAAAGGATCTTCTAGAATAACCAATGTACGGGAAAATTTTGATATCAAAATAGGGGAACATTGGGTTGATGCTTTAAGTAGCGGTAATGCAATGTCTGATGGCGGTGTCAATAATGCTGGTGCATGTCTTGATAGTAATACTGAGAAAAAAAAGGAGAACGAGAATGAATATCTGATATTCGAGCAAGACTTAAAGTTTTTTACTGAGGATGAAACGCAACGCATTATTAATCTAAAAGAGCCAATTTTACTAGAAGAATCAAGATCGCCGTTTACCTTCAAGGTAAACCTGGACTACAAAGATGGAAGCTCATTCAAAACGAAAGCGGTACGTAAGTCGAAAAAAGTGTTTACAAGCGAACATGGTGTAATGTCTGTAGAGAACGTGTCCGGAAACCTTGCCGGAATTCAAAGCCTTAGTTTTGAAAATATTTCAAATCGTTAACAGTGTTAAAAATGTACACGTATAAGCGTTGTTGCGGTGGATACAACTAAGATGAACCATATACTGAATCATTGCATGTTTGTTTTAATGCGTGTTCGTGCTTCTGCAGATATTTATGCACGAAAAAGGGAGCATTAACCATCTATTGTATCATGTTTGTCTCATTTTATTTGCAATTTTGGTGATTTTACATAGATGTTGTGACATTTTTGAATGATATAAAATTATTGACCTCGTTTTTTTTACTCCACGTTCAACAAGGAAATACACGGATGCAATACAAACAAGTAGTCCGTCACTTTGTTTAACATATAACGTATTTGATGGAGTAGGAACGAATTTTTTGTATTAATTTTCTTCAATTGAAAATGATTGTATTTTCAAAAAAATAAAATATATAATAAAATGTAGCTAGCTTAATATTTTTATATGTATTATTTTTAACTTATGATTCCTTATTTTTTCATGGATATGATTATAAAATATAATTATATATAGTTTTATAAACAAAGTATTATCGTAGAAATGATAAAGAACGTTTTCAGTTCATAAATTTCAAAGACCCTTTAAAGGGACAATTCAGTACTAATATGAAAAATGTATTATTAACATTGAAACATTGTAAATATGTTTCTAGAGCGACCATGTATAGCTCTTTCTTTCTTTTTACGTAGTCAGCAATATGTGAAAATGGTCAAAAGTCATTCAATTATTAACCGCTTCAATGAAACATTTTTTTTATTCTACGGTGGAAAACAAATAGCATAAGACCTAAACATGTTTTAAATCTACGGCGGAGAACAAATAGCATTAGACCGTTAGTTTTTCTGTAAGGAATTTTCGGTGTATTAAGGACTCAAATAAGTGATAAATAAAGAGCTGTTCTGAGATTCAAATTTTATTCGTTACAGTTTCCCTTTTGCTGGAGATACTATTTTTTATTGATGGTAATTTTACATATTGATTGGTTTAAACATATGTAGCATGTACCGAGCTTAAATATACGTATTTGTATTCAATATATTATATTAATAATTTTCCTCTAGGTTTCCTTACCTAAATAATTGAAGACCAATGATTTCAAAATAATTGGAATATAAATTAATCAACTTGAATTAAACAAATATTAGATAAACAATACACAATATTGATATATTTGGTTACAATCCCAATTCTTTCCTAGTCTCTATGCCTAGTCTCGATGCCTTTCTAACATACAGTATAACCCGTCTCGATGCCTACCAATTATACTATGCTCGTATTTCCTATGTTTCATTTTTATTTATCTCCAAACAATTATCCATCAAATATCCTGCAGCTCGGTTTACTTTCTACTATATAAAAAGCTGCAATCCTCTCCGTTAGCGTTGCCCTTTAGAGAACACGGATTACAGACAATATACAGCAGGTATAACTTCAAAGCTCAAAGATTAGATGTCGACAATCTGACTTCTATAAACACAAACCAAAACTCACTTTTTTTTAATGCGTTTATTTAAGGTCGCCGCCGGAAAGCCATATGGACGACCGTACACTCAAGTCGGGCCATCTAGAGCGTCCCGCCGAGATTTTTTCGTCGATTTTTTCCAGCTTTATTGGTTGAGGAAGACCCCAGGTGCCCCTCCGGGCATTATTTCAGGCACTAGCGTGCACCTGGGTAGAACCACCGACCTTTCAGCTGGATGGCTTCCTCACATGAAAGAATTCGACCCGAGTGAGGATCGAGCCTACAGCGGTGAGGGACCTGTGATCTCAAGTCAGCGACCTTAACCACTAGGCCACGGAGCCCCCCCCCCCCCCCCCAAAGGCCCCCCCCCAAAAAAAAAAAACTCACCTTGAATACCTCTGCTTATATATGCTTTGGCACAACAACGCCCTCTTGCGGCTATTTATGATTGGCTAATCAACTTACAATACAAATATACAGAAACGAGCACCTGCTTATAATGTTATATAGATCATATAGTCTGCATTACAAATAATGACAATTAAAAAATTGTAGTAGAAACTATGTATACATTTCATTAAAATTACATAAAAGAAATACTCGCATTATTATTCACAACAGAATAATAGCAAACTAATCTTTAAAGAAAATATAGTCTCCAGTGCAACCTATTGTTTATGTATATTTACCTGCAAATGGCGTTCCTGTACTAAAGGGCCGTAACTCGTTATTATTGTTACACATATTTATTAAAGCTCAATAGCGAAACAAGTTCTTGCAACTAATATTAATCACTTTCGAGAACCAACCAGTACTGGTGTCATATGAAGAAACATGGTCGTGACCCGAATAGGGCTCGAACCCATGATCTCTGGGTTGAGAGGCAGACACATTAACCACTAGGCCACCGCCCGCCTTGATATTGATTCCTAATACTGGCGAAATAAATAGAGAAATTTGAATGAGTATAAGTTAAATACTGATTTATTGAACGAGTTGGATAACAAATATAATGAGCGAGCCTCTGACGAGCATGACATTATTTTATTCAACGAGTTGAATGAATTCAGTAATGAACTTACACGAATTTAGTATTCTATGTTTCACATACATATCAAAGGACCGTTTGAAGTGAAAAAAATCAGTTTTCATTAACATGCCTATAGTATAACGCTAATATTTTGCGCATCTTAACGCTATGCATATAACGCAAATTACGTCACGTCAAAATATATAAGTCTAGTCCGCTCATTTTATAGAGTATATGAAACTTTTATAACTTAATCACAGGAACGTATCATTTCAAATGTTTGAAAGAATAGCATCCGCAAATATAATTTTCACAAAGAAGTCATATGTTGTTACTTATTTGTATGTCCTCTAATTCGTCCGGCGACAGTATGCCATCAACTTTATATCGAAACTATACACAAATAAAAGCGTTGACGTGTACTTACTTCTAGAAACTTGTTATTTCTGTATGTATCTAACATGAAGGCCGATGCCAGTCTCAACACCTACGAATTGATGGGTCAGTCTACACTGATTACTTTGTATATTGAGCATTTTTAGAGATGTCCGCGTTATTCTAATCAGAAACATAATTTGAAAAATTGCCATGGATATATAACAATGCAAATTTATCGGAATAACTTAAGTTTACAATGAACGTGCATGAAAGTAATAAATACGTGTAACTAGATTCTGCCAGTTAATATTCCAACTGCTCAACTATGATTTTTTCCTGTATTGTCATTCTCTCTTTGTAGATTTTCCTAACAAAAGTATCAACATACAGAGTTATTCTCATATTTGATCACATAAGCATGTCCTCGTGATGCACTTGATCAAAGTTCTATTCCGAACTAGAGCTTAGACTCCGATACAATGTGTAACAAATTAACAATTTGATTTTAAGTAATGTCATTTTATTTTAATGAAACTTGACAGTTTCTCTGCAAACTTAACAAACAACAATCCATGTTATGGTTCAGTATATAAATGTAAACATTACGATGACATCACCGTTGCATTGCAATTATTAAGGGAGCTCCATTGAGATCCAATAGCTTAACGCATGAAATTTGAAAATCTAACATATATTAACTACCGCACCTTAAACGGAAAAAATATAATAATGAACAAAATAATAAACAAATCAGCACTGAAGGGTAAAATCGATCGATATTGGGCGCAGTTATCAGTCGGATTTCACGTAAAACGTTAAAAAACGCTTTTCATTATTGTCTTTTTAACAATATAATGGTAAGTTTATAGAAACGAAGTGAGCGAATGACCTAAATATTTGCACACAAGTTATTGGTATACAAGTACATCTATGGAACGCCGTGACTGTCTTATGTAATCAAAGTTTTTGTTATTTTGTGAAACGATGATATTATTTTGTCTTTTGAGCGTGTTAACATGTGCAATTTACATCATGTCTTGTCAAAGGAACATGCTGACTTGTACAAACAACATTTTAACTTGTCAAATGATTATGATGACATGTGCAGACAACATCCTAACTTGTCAAAGTATCGTGATGACTTGTGCAAACAACATGTTAACTTGTCAAAGTATAATGATGACTTGTGCAAATGACATGGTAACTTGTCAAAATGTAATGATGACTTGTGCAAACGACATGTTAACATGTCGAATTATTGTGATGACATGTGCAAACAGCATGTTAACTTGTCAAAGAATCGTGATGACTTGTGCAAACGCCATGTTAACTTGTCAAAGTATAATGATGACTTGTGCAAACGACATGTTAACTTGTCGAATTATCGTGATGACATGTGCAAACAGCATGTTAACTTGTCAAAGTATCATGATGACTTGTGCAAACAGCATGTTAACATGTCAAATTTCCATTATGACTTGTGAAGACAACATGTGAACTTGTCAAAGAATCGTGATGACTTGTGCAAATGACATGTTATCTTGTATCATGCTGACATGTCAAAACGTACTGTTAACTTGTCAAAGTATTATGATAACTTGTGCAAATACCATGCTAACATGTCAAAACTCCATGATGACATGTGTAAACAGCATGTTAACTTGTCAAATTATCGTTATGACATGTGCATACAGCATGTTAACTTGTCCAGGTATCATGATGACTTGTGCAAACGACATGTTAACTTGTCCAAGTGTAATGATGACTTGTGCAAATGCCATGTTAACTTGTCAAAATTTCATGATGACATGTGCAAACAGTATGTTAACTTGTCAATGTGTCATGATGACTTGTGCAAACGCCATGTTAACTTGTCAAAGTATAATGATGACTTGTGCAAACGACATGTTAACTTGTCGAATTATCGTGATGACATGTGCAAACAGCATGTTAACTTGTCAAAGTATTATGGTGACTTGTGCAAACAGCATGTTAACATGTCAAATTACCATGATGACTTGTAAAGACAACATGTGAACTTGTCAAAGAATCTGGATGACTTGTGCAAATGACATGTTATCTTGTATCATGCTGACATGTCAAAACGTACTGTTAACTTGTCAAAGTATTATGATAACTTGTGCAAATACCATGCTAACATGTCAAAATTCCATGATAACATGTGTAAACAGCATGTTAACTTGTCAAATTATCGTTATGACATGTGCATACAGCATGTTAACTTGTCCAAGTAACATGATGACTTGTGCAAACGACATGTTAACTTGTCCAAGTGTAATGATGACTTGTGCAAATGCCATGTTAACTTGTCAAAATGTCATGATGACATGTGCAAACAGTATGTTAACTTGTCAAACCATCGTGATAACATGTGAAAACAACATGCTATCTTGTCCAATGGTGACTTGTGAAAGCGACATGTTAACTTGTCAAAATTTCATGATGACATGTGCAAACAGCATGTTAACTTGTCAAGGTATCGTGATGACTTGTGCAAATGCCATGTTATCTTGTCAAATTATCATGATGA